ATGATCTTGTCCGATTCCCAGGCTGCAGCCCAAACGGTTTCCAATCTTAGCAAAGGAGCACCCCCGACCCCGAGATCAGGTATCGAGGCGGAGATCAAGAGAACCCTCGTCAACTCCACAGACTTCAAAGACGTGAGGATCTCCTGGGGGAGGGGTCACATTGGTATAAAGGGCATTGAGAAGGCGGAACCAGAGGCCATCTTTGAGTCGTGTCTAGGAAACCTCACAGGCACAGGACAGGACGCACATCTACGCATGGAGGGGTTTTTTATTTCTTTTTGGATACTCTTTACTAATATTCGGTCCCAGTGCCTGGAGGGTACTAGGCCTGGGCACGAGACGTCTCGAGATGTCTCAAGGGCTGTTAAACTGTATGTCACAACCAATGAAAAGTTTTCGCAGCCACCGAAGTTCCTCGCAGCCACCGAAAACTTTTCACAGAAAGTCTCGAGACATCTCGTCTCGTGCCCAGGCCTAGAGGGTACGCGCCGCTTCCAATCCGTAAGGAGGCCAGGACCAAGGCGGGGTTCGGGATAAGGAAATGCGAATGGGGACGACAGGCACTCTCGGCCTACAACTGGTTGCGGACAGATTGAGGTCCCCAGAAAAGCTGGCTGTGCCATATCGGCAAGGCAGACTCCAAGGATTGCGAATGTGGACACCCGATGGAGAACGGTCAGCACATTCCTTCGATTGTCCACGGTTCAGACGCACGAGAGCCAGCTTCCTAGGAAAAAAGCACAGCTGGGAAGAGCTGGATATGCCGGAGTGGCGGACAGAAGGGGATTTTTTTTATCCTTCGAGGCCACGGAGGCATTCGTTAATTTCATCTATCACGAGCTCACCTAATTTACATTTAAGTATTCCCAAGTCCGTTTCCTTATTACAGTTCACAATTTCGTCTCTTCATCGATTATTCCATTCCCCTTTGAGGTTTTTATACGAGTTCTCCTTGTCTAGCGGTTTCTTGCCGGGGTTGAGGCCCAGTCAGGGCCCTCGGGACACAGTCCGTTAATGACGGGGCCTCTTCCTAGTTGAGTTCATTTATTCATGTATCTAGCGCTGGACCTGGCAGATTGATTTCTCTTGTCCCTGATTCCACCCGGTTTTCTGGGTGGCATTTCATGGTCCCCCTAACGGGACCACATAGGAGTAATGAATAGTTAAAAAAAAAATTTGATGAGCCACCCGGAAACCCGGGTGGATTCAGGACAAGGCAAGTTAATCTGCCAGGTCCGGCGGCTATACTCAAGTGCGAAAACGTGAAAGGATAAAATCCAAAAGCGAACGTGAAGGAATACTAAGGAAGAAACTCAAGTGCCGAGCGGCAAGCCGATGCAAATATACTAAAGTGCCTCCTCTTTCAGCGAGGCATCGATACAAGAAAAGAAACTGAAGAAATCCTCGACTGCGTTCCCGCCCTCCTCTTCGGTGAGAGGTCGATCCAGATCCTTCCAGTCCTCGATGTTTCCTAAAGGTGCCCTGTTCTCGTTGAAATGTGGGCAGGAACAGATTATCCGTGAAGCAATAGAGGGTGAACAGGAATTGCGCTGGATGATGGATACCCAGTTAGGCCCTCGGGAGTCGAAATCGAAAAGCTAGAGAAAGAAAGGTAAAATAGTTGAAAGGCAGAGGAGGCAGCGGCAGTAGAAAGGGGTCCACCTGGGTAGATATGCCACGGTCATGGGTATGGATTATTGGGATTTGGTATGGCTTGGGAGAAGACTCAAACACGGTGGCCCACTGGCCAAGCCACGATAGCGAGGGCAGCGGAGGCTGGATCGAGGTTCTGGTAAAGGAGCGTATGGAAGGAGGGTGAAGAAACTGAGTGGATGAAGGGCCATTCTGAGGTTAAGGACGCCAGGCATTGAGGATACACGCAAAACCGAAGGCGCAATAGAGCAATAACATGCCTATCGGTTCCGAGGAGCGGTGTTGAAGATTGTTGGAGGGCGGGTTCCCTTTCCTTATTTCTTTCCCTGTGTCTTTTTCTTCTTAGATTTTCGTGTTTACTATTTAAAAGGGGGTTATCTGGCAGTGAAAGGCCCAGGGGTGGATACTCCGGCCGAGTAGCCGCTCCGGGATGCGCTCCCTCGTCATCAACTTGATACTTGAATACGAGTACCGGTATTGAATTTCACTTTCGAACTCACATAGGAGGAATTACTCTATCTAGCTTCTTGATTACTTAGCTCTTTACCTGTACTAAGAAAAAGAAAAAGTTCCAGTAGCTCTTGAAGGAGAGGCAGAAAAAATAGGAGAAGAAGAAATCAAAATATGGCTTTGGCTGCAGCTTAACCATGATCCTGAGCATCCACACTAGGTTCCTGGTCAGCCTGTTTTTCCTATTAGATCTTCCAGCTTCTCTCCCTTCAGCCTGCTGACGATTGGAATCCAGTTTTGGACCAGCCACAGTCTTCTTCCCATCAACCACCTGTTTCCTGGCCTGATTTGCCATACCTATCATATTTTTTTTCATAAAAAAAGCCATACCTAGGTAACTCTTGAAGTCAAGAAATATACCTTTTTAGCTTTCTTTAGAGCTAGGTAGCTTCTCAGAAATCCTCCACTCCAAGATTCACAAAACACAACCACCAGCATGGGCTCTCCAACACGTTCGAGTTCATGACTGCACGTACAACACGAGGATCCCCTGAGCCCAAAACAACATCAATAGATAGAGCGCGACGAGCTCTTCATTCCACCCCAAATCCATATCCAGCGACCTTCTCTTACTCTTTCCCCTGGATTTAAATCTCAAATTCTCGTGATTTCGTACACTTCTTCCCGACCGCACCGTACCGACTTCTTGCCACGTCAAGACCTCCAGCTCCTACCCAACAGCGCGAGCGGCCAATACGCGGAAAGATAACTAACTCTCACACCTTCCCGCTCCCCAATCACAGCATTTGGTCTCATCGGACGCCAACAACGAACCTCCTCGACCAATCCGAGAAATTAGAACATACCCAAGGGAAAGAGAAAGGACAATCCTGGAAAGAGACAAGATTAAGCCACCACTCAAGACACGGTTCCCAGTCAAAGGCCACCCACAGTCGCATGAGACAATCCAAAACGCACCGCCACATGACAACGGTCACAAACCTTCACCTTGGGTAACGGCTATACTGACGGTTTCCAACGGCCACGACAAGGGCACAACAATTACATCCCCCCCTGACGGTTACTAAAGCGACCGCGAAGTCGACATAGAGGCCATTTGCCGGGTAAGTACACAGCTACTGGAGCTAATCCCTTTCCCCGGTCTAAGGATAGCCAGTGTTTCCAGGATTGCTGGAACCATCACGTCTATGTTCCGGGCGAGTTTAATTTTCTCGCGAGAGGCCCGGTCCTCTCGCGAATGTTGAGTTCTCGCGGCTGGCCCGGAACATCTACACCACCACAAGGATTTGGCTACCGAAAACAGTATTAAGTTCAACCCACCACCAGAGTCGTCAATAAGGTATGAAAGCACGTGAGTTATCAAGAAAGTGGTCTAGCAACTCAGGCCACACCCACCACTCCTCCGACCGCCGCAAGCATTCAGACCACACCACCATACCTCGTACCGCCAAGCAGATACCGGTAAAGTTGTCGACAACGGGCAGCGTTTCCACCAACACCGACTCCGATCCCCAGCACGCACGTACGCACAGGCAGCAACCCAATTACCCGGATGAAACCAGTTCATGCGAACTCACAAAGGCAAGGAGCCGGCGGCAGCGTCACCACCCCGGAACCCCCAGTACAAGTCGCCATCACCTCCCTCGGACTCCCCGAATCCTCCGCCATCACCACGTACGCGAGCCGTAGTATTCCATGCGGCCCAAACAAAATACAGTCCCGGTCTAATGCATCGTCGGATCTACGAAGACAACAAGGGAGCTCGAATATGAGCATTAGCTGGCTGTTTAAAGAAGGTAGAAGGGACGGAAAGCTAGCGTCATTACTGGTGATTTACATGGCGGAGGTGATCGACACTAATATCTTTTACTTTAAAAAAAAAAAAAAAAAGGCATCGACACTACGCAAGGGCTTCACATGGGTAAGAGGCTCTTCTGAACCACGGAATACAAGTGGAGCAGATGACTATCACCGAAACGATGCGGATATGACAGAGGGTGTCCGGGTTTAACTTCTCCTTTTCTTCAACTTGAGGGGCCTTTTCTACTAGCGAGGGGTACGTCTACTTGAGCGTTGAGCGCACACAGGACTTCAGTCAGGCCTCTTGGGATGTCCGATTGATGACAGCATGGGAGTTTTGTCTTATTTATTTCCTACTCACGAGAGATTCCTCTACTTTTTCTGGAATTCTGCGAGCCGGACTTGACAGATTAAAATTTAAGGTGTCGTTTCCTGAATCCACCCGGTTTCCCGGTGGCTCATCATGGTCCCCTAACGGGACCGCATATGAATACTGAGTATGCGATTCTCAGTTCCCGTAAGTGGTTCCCATTATAAGGGATGACGTATTCTAATGCTCAGTCTACATTTTATTACATAGCAACATGGATTTCCATCAATTCTGTTAATCCCAAACTGATGTATCGCTGACAAAATATCCAGAACTTCCTTCTAAAGAAAACATAGCTGATGGTTCAAAACGTGGCTTTTCATATAGGCATGTGCCAAAGCATAACTCACTAAATGGAAGTGGGCATAGTGAGCGTTTACTGATTTCTGGTCACCATTGCCCATCGGGGCGCGCAAGCATCTTCTGTCTTCTATGGAAGAACACTGAGGACCGCCGTGTATGGTCCACCTCAATGCCTATATTCGCCATTTTCAAACAAGCCGGACATAACCCTGGTACTTTATATGGCTGAATGCAAGCGTGGAAGCGAGACCATAAGAGAGCGAGGGCACCCCTGAGCCTGGCGCTCGGCTTGTGATTCCTCGCTGAGTCAAATGGCAAAGGTTATCACCCTAGGACCAATCGGGACCCGAGGACACATGGCCTGCCGTTCATAAGCCAGAGCCTAACCCCCCTTAAAACACTCGCTGCTGTAGTGTAGTGGTCAACACACTCAGGTTCAAAGCCTACGAGGACGGTGGTTCGAACCCATCCAGCAACGTATGATTCTTTTTTGAAGTTCCCGGCTTTTCGTTCTAAGCACTGGTCTTGGTTCCAAGACTACATCTTTTTGCATCTACCTAGGTAACAGTTGGTGTATGCTCCGTCATAACTGGGGTCTTCGATTATAATTATTTAATACAGTACACATGCAAAACCTGGACTTGCAGCAGACAGAGCCCAAGTAGCTGATGGAAGTTATTGCGACCACCTTTGGCAATTACAGGGAGTTGTTTTCTCTCTCTTTGCTTTCATTTTTGCTTACGCAAGATAGTTGGTCAACAGTGTTCAATTTTCCGGATCCTCTCCGTCGTTTCCTTCATCAGATTTTTTCACCCTTTTCCTTTGTCACACCTTGTGTATAGGTATCAGCCGGACCGGCAGAATAACATGTCTCGTCCTGAATCCACCTTGGTTTCAAGTGGCTCACTATGGCCCCGGGACCACATGTGATGAGTATTTAACAGAAAGAATTGGCAATTGCAAACGAAATATTTTCGCAATGGGACAAGATACCAAGCACGAGCAACTTGGGCTGTTGTACTTAGTGGAATACTCATCATCTATTTCCACTCTGAGCCCTGTGGAATTTCAATTAAGGATAGCCTGTCAAGGTCTCAATATTGCTTCTTCGCTGCTGCCTAGACGACTCGGCTGCTCCTTTGCGCACTACGAGTCACCTCCCTCGGCAAACGTCGGTAAGTTTAACACTCCGGCCAAGCACCCCTCGCCAGCTGCTGTGGTGTAGTGGTGAACGCACACAGTGCCCTGTGAGGACGACGGTTCGAACCCATCTACCCTGTTTCTTTTTTTTGAATAGATCGAGGATCACATGTCTTGTCTTGCACATTTGTCTAATATATAACATGTCTTAGTTGCATAATGTAGTGGGTCTTGTGCCAACCAGCTTGCCACAGGGCCATATTCCAAACAATTAACAAATAGTTATCCAATATTTTGTATATCACCCCTGTTCCTCCGCCCTTTTGAGCTTTCTTTGACCATTTTTTTCTATAGCTGTTTTGCATGGGCGCGGCCTGGAAGACTTTTTCAGATGTACCAAGTATCAAGACCAAAGACATAGTATAGGTAAAGATCTCGTAAATATATAGAAATAAATAAGATGTAAATGTACGGAGTATAAAACTGTATTTGAAAAAATATTGATACATGTAAAGAAACATATTCCAAGTACTATAAGGGTGTGGAGGGCCTTGTAGCCGAAAGGGGAGTTCAGGGTAACTAGTAAACTTTTGCTGTCTATAACCTTAGACATATAGTAACTTACCATCCTTGTTCGCACCCCAGCTGTTTTATACCAAAGCTTCCCATCTTTTGAATACTATCAAAGAACTATATAACCAATTTGAAAAAGAAATAAAAAGGTATTTCAAGCGAGGCTAGTTCTCTAATAAATTGATCTTTCAAAAGTCAGAAACTAAATTTGCGTGTTGTAGAACTTTTGCAAAGTTGGGGATATGGTTGTCATGCACCTTTTACTTACAAATTGACTATGTACCTCCGCCTTGATTAGGTATTCTGTGCTGTAGTTTTAGAATATTCCTTGAAAAAATATTCAGAAAAGTAGAGTGATTTTAATATAATAGTTCTCCATGATAGTCTTAAGTAGCAAGCATGGCTGAGGTATTTTGTTGACCTTTCCAAAAGAGGGCACTTTTGGCAGTGTTTTGTGCTACTATGCAAACTAGGAAGTATAGACTAAAGATGTTCCAATAAATCCCTTGCAGTCAGATGTGAAAAGAGCTAATATGTATGCAGGAGATTCGACAAGCATGCTCTTGCATCCAGCATCCTCGATGCAAATGTTTCAATTCTTCAGTGTGCATAGTAATATACTCTGTAGAGACGTGTGTACAAGAAACGTTTCTTAACCAACCACAAAGACAATCTAACGGATACCGTTTTGAAAAGAGGGCTAGGGTTGTGTCATAACTGGAATGTTATAATTTTCTACTAGGAAGGCCTTCAATAAAGGTAGTTAAAAGTATTTGGCCAAAAGTCTTCAGTAAAAGGCGATATTACACCTAAAACCACCACTTTTCGACGGAACTTCAAAATCTATCAATGAAATAAAATTCGTTATGCTCCACGGAGTGAGGAAAACCTATGAAGAACTCTCCAGACTGAGACAGATATATCCGTTTGTACTAGATCTAGGTCTGACGCTGACCTACGGCAGTATGTGAAGACTTACCCTGAACAGACACACTTTGTGCCCCAGGTCATGGCATCAGTTCGAGGCAGCTAGCGCTTCCTGCCAATTAGACTCCAGGCACTAACTAGCATGAGTCACTGTGTAGTTTTTTGTTGAATAATACTCAAGAATGAAAGAAAAAGGGAAGAATGGTAAACATGATGAGTTTAATCATAAGTAGAAGAAGTGAAAGCGTCAAAGATACTTGGTACTTCACCACACCAAACATAAACAAGTATAACTAAACTAAACAAGGTATTGTTACAAAAAATGTGTGAAGGAAAGTCATGCTCTGTCCCACAGCAACATTAGCCCTTCCAACTCATGTTGTAAGTCAGGGCGTGTTTTCCAGATATCCAGAACGACTATCCTCCACTTTGCAGTTTCAAGAGGTAGTATAAGATATCATCCTTTCCGGAAACAGTTAAAGATAAAGACACTTGGTACGGGGTATTCACCATCCCAATAACTCCAGATTGGGAAGATGCAAAAGAAAAAAACAGACTTTAGGCCTGGGCACGAGCCGGAGAATTACGAGAATAAATAGATAACTGCGTACGCTATATATCTGTGTAGGCCATGGCAAAAAAAGAAAGTCGCAGAAATATGAAATATACAGACATACAATTAGGGAAGAATCAATTTCAACCCCCATCACCTACCTAAAGTCCGCAGCGAAATCGGACCATACATAGGACTGCAATATGTAATAACCGTACAAATTGTAGGTTTCAACCATTGCAACTCCTCTTATGATGGTAGGCGTGGTTGGTTATGTAGGAAATTGAGCGATTGTAGTTGTTTGTAAATTTTGCTGCTACTTTCCATAGCAATAAATGTGGAGACGTGAAAGCTCATCCTGAATAGACTCCTGGTTAATAAATAGCCTAGGACTGTAGAGATAGTTGTTATACCGACAAGATCCCAAGGCCAGATACTGTATAACCATCTTGAAAGTAATTTTTAGGGGAGGTAAGGAACTCCTGGACTGCCGGTGGAGGTTGTGTAATTTAGGTAAAAAATAATACAGAGGTAATGGTGGGACTGCAATGCATTTTGAAGCTTTTCACTCTCCGGGTACCTTCGGTATTTCGCGGTTGCAACGACTTCCGGACTCAAGCCTGTGTAACCTTGGGCTCGAGCCCAGGCCTAAAAACAGTCTTCCCGTCTTGATGCCCCCTGCGATTAAGTGATTCTTGACTTGTTAGCACCTCACTCCCTTCCCCAGCACATTTTTTTCTACCTACCTGCCCCTACCATCCACATCACCTCTGATCACCAAAAATACACAAAGACCGCTTATAAGAATTCCATCCGCCCACCCTTCTCCTACCCCCCATCTCCCTCCAAAATTCGACAAAGAATTCTGTCCCCGGAATTCTGTCCCCGTTCTCGCCCGCAATTCGATAAACTCACAACAATAAGTAAGTACAGTAAGAGAGCAAAGGGGACGTGACGTGATAAACGGTAATTGAAGAAGAAAATTGTAAAGTAATACATAAACGGATACTAAAAGCAAGATGCAAGAAAAACTTAGCAAGATGAACGGTTTCCCTAGGTATCCAGGCGCCCAGCCCCTAACCCCGAGCTTGACACGAAGTTTACCTCCTACGGCCTACCCCTGCCCTATTGCACCCCGCAAGATGGCTACTGTCCACTCATGATGCCTTGTTCATTTCTTTTACAGCCACTATCTCTACTCAAATCAAGCATTTCCCCTTGCCTACATCTAGGCCATCGCTTGCTACCAGTCATTGATTTTTTCCCCCAGTTAAGTAAACAGCAGTATTCCCTTAGCACCTATCACACTTCCCATGTAGATATGATCATGTTGATGGACTTCAACAGTGGCATTCACAGATGATGATTCTTGGTATGTACCTAGTGTTGTGATGCAATTATATGGTGAACTGGCATTTGTTGTGCCTGGAACAAATTGCATTGGTGAGCTAATTGTTAGCAAATTTCCTTCCGTATCAGGAACATTTCTAGTGAATACTTAGGATTTCTACGTTAGCCCGGCCCTGCTTCCCAGCAGTAAAAGATTCTATATAGAGAGCTGGAAACCTTTCCCCCTAGCCTTGGATACAGGGGCAACTTACGAGGCGGGTCACAGTTTTTTTTTTTTTTTTTTTTAAATGTCGAGGCGGGTCACAATAATTGTCCATTATCGCGCGAGCTGTCCGAGGCTCCGAGCTGTCCGAGCTGTCCGATCTGTGACGCTGCCCGATAAAGGGAAGCCATGGCTGCTGTGCACTTGTAAATTTTACCCTTTGCGGGCGGTGATGTGGATCGATTGCCTTGGGACTTCAATTGGCGACCCATAGTTTCTGTGCGCTTTGCAAATCATATCTTTTGCCGGCCTTGTCATTGCTTGCACAATTTCATTGAGGGAAGGCTACATAGAGGACTTGCGGTGATGGGATGAGATTACGTGTACGGCTGGAATGATACTGAGTATATTCGAGTAGTCTTCGCACTGTAAATATTCAAGTCGATGGGCTATATTCAAGTGAGACTAATTTGTAGTTGAGGCGATGAGATCGGTTTTTCCGCGCTTCGGGGCTGTTTGGGTTCGCAGCAGGTTCGCAGTTAGATTCGCAATTAACGAGATTATTGAGCCGAACCAAAACTATCTGTTTGACTGAGGCGATCTCATACTACCTATTTTCTTCTGACACCGGCGACAATAAATTATAACCAGGCTAGCACAACTCCAACCCACAGGATCCAGCATCTCAATATTGGTAGCCCGATATTAATAGAATGTACATAATTGGTTGGTG